TCTTTGCATCTTAACACAAAATTACATGATATTAGGTCATACTTGCTAAGAAATTACTCACTAAAATCAAAACATTATTTAAAATAAAAATAAATAATGAAATAGACACTGTAGGGGAGGGAAAACTTTTCCTCCATCCTCTTAGGGTTCCTGGCTGGATCTGAAGAGTAAACTGAAAAAGACTGATTAATAGGAGAAAAGCAGACAAATTCATTTAATGTAAGTTTTATGTGATATGGGAACCTTCACAAGGAAATGAAGACCTGAAGAAAGAGTCAGCCTGAGCATTTTTATACTAGATATGATGAAGAGTAGAAAGTCATGGAAAAATGGGAAGGACAAAAAGGTATATACCAAGGATAATAAAATAAGGAAAACTCAGCAAAGCCACGTTCACTTGGATTCCTCTTGGTAGCTCCCCATCTCTGGAGATAAGGATGTTCTTTTCCTCCAGGTACAGGGAGGGCACCTCTCACATGAAGGTCTTATGACCCATTTCTGGGGAGAAGGGGGAAGGACCTGCTATTTCTCAAAATCCTTCAGCTTAAAATATTCAATATGCCAAAATGCCATATTTTGGGGTAGCCTGTTCTAAACCCCACCAACACAAAATGAAAATATCTTACAAATTACCCTTTACTAACTGTTTATTTTTTAGGATAACAGAACGCAGTGGGAAAAAAATGCATATCCTAATCAAAAGAAAGTAGCAGTGGCTACATTAACTCCAAACAAAGTAAAACAAGAAATATTACTGAGACTAAGTACATTTAGGGGTTTATTTAACAAGACCTAAACAATCCTAAATATGTAAGCACTTCACAATAGTGTCAACATACCTGCGGTAAAAACTGATGAAAGGAGCAATAGACAAATCCATAATTATAGTTGGATATTTCACTACAGCCTTCTCAATAATCAGAATAAGAACTCAGATACTCAGCAATGTAGAAGATTCAGTACTGTCAACAAACTTCACCTAATTGACATTTATAGAAAACCCCACCCAACATGGCAGAATACACAATCTTTTCAAGTACACATGGCACATTTACCAAAAAAGATCCTATCCTGGTCCATTAAACAAACAAACAAACAAAAATCAAAAAACCCTTTAACACATAAGAATTGAAACCATACAGGGGTGCCTGAGTGGCTCAGTGGGTTAAAGCCTCTGCCTTTGGCTCAGGTCATGATCTCAGGGTCCTGGGATCCAGTCCCACATCGGGCTCTCTGCTTAGCAGGGAGCCTGCTTCCCACCCCCCACCGCCCCACCTACTTGTGATCTCTGTCAAATAAATAAATAAAATCTTTAAAAACAACAACAAAGAACTGAAATCATACAAATCATGCTATTTTACTACAACAGAAATAAACTTGAAATCAGTTAACAGAAAGGTATCTCAAAAATTCCCAAACACTTCACAATAATCCATGGTTCAAAAAAGGAGGAATTAAGGGAGATTTTTAAATATTCTGGACTGTATAACAGAAACACAATATGTGGGATGTAGCTAGATTAGTGCTTAGAGGGATATTTATAGTACCAAATGCATATATAAAAAAATTTTTTTAAAGGGAGGAAGACCTCTTATTAATACTTATGCTTCTACCTTTAAAAAATACAAAATTAAGAAAAAATTAAATCTGAAGTAAGCAGTATGAAAGAAACTATAAACAGCAAAAATCAGTGAAACTGGAAATACAAAGTCAACATAGAAAATCAATGAAACCAGGGTGCCTCAGTGGCACAGTCACTTAAATGTCCAAATCTTGATTTCAGTTCAGGTCATGATCTCAGATCATGCCCTGTGTCAGGCTCCACGCTGAATGTGGAGTCTGCCTGTGATTCTTCCTCTCCCTCTGGCCCCTCCTCATACTCACTCTCTCTCTCAAATAAATAAATCTAAACAACAACAACAACAAACCAATGAAACCCAAAGCTGGCTCTGTGGGGGTGGGGGGGTGGGCGGAAATCAAAGGAATTGGTAAGCCTCTTGCCAGACTGGTCAAAATAAAAATAAAGAAGACATAAGTTATCAGTATCAGGAAGAGAAGGACATTAAAGTAATCCCAAAGGCAGAAAAAGATAAAAAGGGAATAAATATGACAAACAACTTCATACCTACAAATCTGACAAAATCCTTGAAAGACATAATCTACCAAAGCTAATGCAGTGAGAGTAGATACTCCGAAAAGTCCTGTTTCTATTAAACAAATTGAATTCATAGTTTTAAAAACTTCCCAACAGAGAAAACTCCAGGCTTTCACGATATGTATCTCTGAAATCGTCTTTCTCTTCTGAAAACCTCCTTCCTGAGGGGGCTTCTCCTTAAATCTGCACTGTGTGTTCTCCAGGCCAGCTATACAGCTATGTGTCCTAGAGAACATCAATTCACTGTGCTCCCCCGTTAGATTTACTGTTTCCTATATTCCACACCCTTCTTTCACTTCTTCATTTTGCTTGAGCATAACTTCTGAGGCTTTCCAGGTTTGAAAATACCTTACTTTTAAAATTCTTTTTTTTGAGAGGGAGAGAGAGAGCGCACACGCATAAGCAGGAAGGGCAGAGGGAGAGAGAAATCCAAGCAGATTCCACTCTGAGTGCCAAGCCCCATGCGGGGCTCCATCTCACAACCCTGAGATCACAACCTGAGCCAAAACTAAGAGTGTGATGCTTAACTGACTGTGCCACCCAGGCACCCCTGAAAACACCTTTGTTCTATTCACATACGTCATTGTTAAACAGCCACAATTCTGTCAAGACTGATGTTCCTATGTTCAATTCTTTTTTCTATTTTTCTATTTTTGTTTTCTCTGGAAACCCTGTATTTTTTTTTTCATTCTCGGTGCTATAAAACTTCACAAACGTGTGCCTATAGGTAGGCTTTTTTGTTTGTTTTTCAATATTGATCACTCTTAGGAACAGAAACAGAATGCTATACACCTGATTTTTTTTTTTTAAAGATTTTATTTATTTATTTGACAGACAGAGACCAGAAGTGGGCAGAGAGGCAGGCAGGGAGCGAGAGAGGAGGAAGCAGGCTCCTGCGAGCAGAGAGCCTGATGCGGGGCTCGATCCCAGGGCCCTGAGATCACGACCTGAGCTGAAGGCAGAGGCTTTAACCCACTGAGCCACCCAGGCGCCCCTATACACCTGATTTTTAATGAAGGTTGCTTTGGTTGGGTGATAGAATTGGGGTAATGTTTCACAGTCACCTTTTTATGTTGGTTGAAAGAGTTTATAATAACCATGAATTTTTATAAAAGCTATGCCATTGAAAAAGAACAAGAACATCCCACAATGTCAATGAAAGCTTTAAATGTTGCAAACTCTGATTCCACAATTCTACTTCTAGAAATCTATGTTCTAGCAAAGGGTTCAAAATTATACATACGAGAATATGTATGACAGTGCTGTTTATACCATTGAAAAATTGGAAACTGCATAAATATCTACCAGTTAGGGTCTAGTTAAACTAACTATGGTGTATATACACACAGACACATACACGCTATCAACACTATGTGTGTGTATAATATACACTGACATAGAAAGATGTATAAAATATTACTAAATGAAAGGGCTGTTATAAAATAATAAAGCATTACCATTGTCATATTAAAATAAAAAAGCAAACAAGCAAAACCATGTGTTTGGGTATACACACACACATACACACGCACGTAAGGAAATGCAAAAAGGTGTTAAAAGATACATTCCAAGATGCAATAGCTTCCACAAAAGGATGGTAAAGCATATATAATTTCCATAACTGAAAATTAAAAATGGAATAATATAAAATACAAATGGATTTAATGATCCAGTTACCAAATGCTCCATTTGTCACACAAAGATGTCCCACTGAATTTTTTAAAATCCAATTCTATGCACACATTAACCAAAAGAAGGCTGTCACAGCTATATCAAAATTCAAAAGAGGTCATGGATGGGAGAAGACTCGGGAAACACGATAACTAAATGCAACATAGGATCTGGATTGGGTCCTAGAACAACAAAAAATTAATGGAAAAAATAGTAATACTTGGATAAAGTGTATAATTTAGTGAATAATATTGTAGCAATATTAATTTCTTGACTTTGATCATTATATTATGATAATGTATTGTGTTAACATTAGTACTAGGGTGAAGAGTTTACAGGAAATCTCTACTATTTCTGCAACTTTTCAGTAAGTCTAAAACTGTTTCAAAATAAGTTTTTTTTTTAAAAAACAGACTAGCCTTTTTATTCTAGTAATTTGGTAATTTGTCTAGGCATTTAGTAATGCCTAGACAAAGGCATTACTAGAGATAAAAAGGAACACTTCTATGTGGGGGAAAAAAAGGTTCAATTCATAAGAAGACAGACCAGCTATAAAGTTGTATGTTTCTAATAACATGACTTCAAAATAAATAAATCAAAAATGATAGAGGGGCGCCTGGGTGGCTCAGTGGGTTAAGCCGCTGCCTTCGGCTCGGGTCATGATCTCAGGGTCCTGGGATCGAGTCCCGCGTCGGGCTCTCTGCTCAGCAGGGAGCCTGCTTCCTCCTCTCTCTCCGCCTGCCTCTCTACTTGTGATCTCTCTGTCAAATAAATAAATAAAATCTTAAAAAAAAAATGATAGAACTACTAGGAAGAAATAAATCTATGATTACACAAAGATTTAACACACTGCAAATTCTCAGTATTTACCAATCACATGAACATGCACACACACACAGACACATACACATAAAAATCAGTAAGGAAAGAGATTTTAACAATGGCAATAACAAATTTCACCTAACGGACATATAAAGCATTGCACCAGACCACAGTATTCACATCTCTCTGTCTCTCTCTCTCACACACATGCCCATTCATATTCAGAAGCATTATGAAAAAAACAAAACCATATACAAAGCAAGGACTTAAACATTTCAATGATTATTCAATTCAAGATATTTTGATGGTAGTTACATGGGTAGTAACTTTTTAATTATTCACTTAACTGTCCAGCTTTGCACAGTGGCAGTATCGTAGCCAATGAGGTTTATCCGAGTCACAATTATTGCTATTATTACATTTCAGAAAAAAGTTTTCACTGATCTATATCATTTATTTATCTAAGTCATTTATTTATTATAAAATGATATATTATTTATTTCTCCCTAGTAGTTTCTATCATTTTTTTTTCAGTTTTTCAACACTTACTCCGCAGCAGCAAAATTCCCAAGATAAAATTATGAAGAGGGGACGTCGGTATACTTCAACAGAAAACAAAACAAGATTCAGAATTAAGGATTCCAGCAAAATAATCCCTGTTGTACTCCAGCAGCTTCCAAAATTTATAAACCCAGGAATATTAAAGGCAATTCTCAAAATAGTATTTCTATACAATCAAATCACCATAATGCAAAACTACAGATAAATAAGAGTAGACGGCCTGAGTATATACATCCTAAACAGTAAACAGTAAACAGTAAGTGAAAAATACCTTCAGTACAGACAATAACTGAATCAAAGGTGTTTGTGTCAACCGCCAAAAGCAGATCTATGGTAAATTTGTCTCATCAATCATCCACTTTAATGAAACCTTCAGCGAAAGTAGTAATTCTCAACTTTCGAAGTATTATCATCTCTTTATTGTTTCCAGTTTTGAGATCAAACAAATACACAGCAATTACGTTATAACTAAAACAAATACAGAACAGTTAAGTGATTAATATTTTAATTTTCAGAAAGTAAAAATAACATATTCCCAAATATGTTTAAAATGACAAAAACTGAAGTTATGTTCACAAAAACTTCAGGGTGAACTATTTCTTTTATTAAAAATGTTCTTTTTGTTAAAAATTTATTAAAAATTAAAAATTACTAAGAGCAGTTTATTACTTATTTGTTGCTGCTAAACAAATTACCCCAAAACTTAGCAGGTTAAAACAGCACACATCTGTTATTTCAGATCCTGAGGAATCTGGTGTTAACTTTGCTAGGTCATCCAGTTCAGGTTATCATCAGGCAGGGCTATAGTCATTTCAAGGTTTAACTGGGACAAGATCTTCTAACTTCACTCAGTGGTTGTTGGCAGGATTCAGTTCCCAGGGGGTTACTGAACTTTCTCCGTGGACTATTGGCCAAAGGCTCCCCTCAATTCCTTGACAGGTGAGTCCTTCTATAGGTCAGCTCATGATATAGCAGATAGGATTCATCAAAGTAAGCAAGCAAGAAAGGGCCAGCAAAAAGAAAGTTATAGTTTCTTGTAACATAATCTCTTAAGTGACATTCCACTACTTTTGTCATATCCTATTAGAAGTGAGCCTCTTGGTAGTCCACCCTTAAGGGAAAAGGATTACACAAGAGGATGAATACCAGGGTTATCTTAGAAGGCTGACTCTTTCACGTAGCTTAGGGAAAAGGCAAGTGGAACAAATCAAGAGAACCGGATTCTAGTAACTATGTGACTAAATATAATCTCTGAAGGCCTCAGTGTTCTCACTGAGCAAAACTGAGAGAATAGCCTAAATGACCTCTAGGATCACTTAAATTCTAAATCCTGTGCTTCTTTACTATGTCTTTTGGAAAGAATTACCAAGGATTACAGCTATTTGGTGAAAATGCCTCGTTTTACAAAAGACAGCTGAATTCGAGGAAAGGTTAATACAGACAGGCAGGAAACCACACTTATTCTGTTCTTATGCCCAGTGCTCTTTCCACCATATAGCATGTTGCTTTTGCAATAAATGCCCTTAAACAGCCCCATCCCCTCTTTATAATAGTGTCAAAATCCAAGAAACAGAAAAGGAATTTGAGAGTACTCAAATACTCTCAAAGAGCAGCAAAAATTGGACAGTTAAGTGTTATGCATTAATGTTATTAATGTTATGCATTACCTTTTTCTTTCATAAACCCTAAAGCTGTCTCTGTAGGTGGCCTATGAGATGAAAATGAGCCATCTTCTGCCCATCCCTAGTCCCAGATATTTAGACGTACTAGTAATGAATCTGCTGAAAGGGAAGTATAAAAGCAACAAATAACAGGTTGTAGCAGAGAAATACAGTCACCTTAAAGAAAACAAGATTAAATATAACCTAATTGAAGTGTCTAAAAATAGAAACTGCACCTAGAAAAGGCAAGGTTTGTCCCCACTGGAATCCTGGAAAATACAGAGTCCCAGAGGTCAACAAGAACAATATGATGCAGGCAATGTCCAGGGGAGTAGGTACTGTAGGAAGCTAATGACAACCTCTGCACTGATAGACATATTGTACCATTAAACATTTGTCCTACATAAATACCCTACTTGTTCCTATATGAGGTCTACTTTATAACCTTTACCAACATAATAACTTGTAATGACTCCAACTCTGGTTCAAGAAGCATGGTGAAAACAGTGCATATAAGTACAATTGTTTTGTGTGGCAGTCATAAAGCAGTAAGATATTTGTATTTGTCAAGATATGTGTGAAGATGTGTATCTAAACAAATGTATATAAATGCATAACTAGATAGAGAATTTCTATGTAAGAAAGGCTTCAGGACAGCAGTGAGTGGTTCGTGGTGGAAGCTAGGCCTAATGGCTTATCATAAATCTGTGTTTGCATAACAATCAAGTAAGAATGACCAAAACTCAATTACCTATCTCAAAGAAAAGATCAAGTTGATGGAGATTACCCTTAAGTCTCTCATTAGTATTAGTGTATATCTGAATATATTCCTAAATTCACTTCTATAAAACACCTAAAAAAAATTGTTAGCTAAAAATGTTAACATAGGCTGAAATAGTAGTCAAAGAAAGTTCTGACACTTTCAAAAGTTTTTTTTATATTTTTTAGTACTGAGTGAAGGACAGGGGGCCCAAAGTAAGAGAAGATGAACTGGACAGCCCAATGGGGCATCTAAAAAAGAGAGGACCCCCCACCACAGGCAGTGATGCCACAGCTGAGTTTCATGGCCCAAGCCACTGGCTATTATTACCTTCCAAATTATGAGTATATTCAATCAGGTAGATATAAATTTTCATCGAGTCATCCCACAATAGAACAGCTCAAAAGACAGTATCTCAGGGGTGCCTGGGTGGTTCAGTGGGTTAAGAGTCTGCCTTCGGCCCAGGTAATGATCTCAGGGTCCTGGGATCAAGCCCTGCATCAGGCTCTCTGCTTCTCAGGGATCCTGCTTTCCCCTCTCTCTCTGCCTTATGATCTCTCTCTCTCTCCCCCTGTCAAATAAAGAAAATCTTAAAAAAAAAAAAAAAAAAAAAAGACAGGGGCACCTGGGTGGCTCAGTGGGTTAAAGCTTCTGCCTTCGGCTCAGATCATGATCTCAGGGTCCTGGGATCAAGCCCCGCATCGAGCTCTCTGCTCAGCGGAGAGCCTGCTTCCTCCTCTCTCTCTGCCTGCCTCTCTGCCTACTTGTGATCTCGCTCTGTCAAATAAATAAATAAAATATTTTTTTTAAAAACACTATCTCAAAGTATTGCAGAAGGAATTTTTTGCTTTTTATACTTGTTTACTCGTGTCCAGAACTGTTTGGATATTCATCCCTTCCCTGCCTTTAGGGACTATCAGAATATCAAAATATCAGAAAAGAGTTGTATCTCCTGTCTTTTCTCACCTACTTAACTCTCTTTTTTTCATCAGTTTTAAAGGGATGGGAAAAAGTAGGAGTAATAAGAACAGTTTAGAGAAGCCTGAAATAGCTCTCTAATAGCCTTGAGGTAAAACTGGTAAAAAGCAAAGGAAGTATGCTTAGAGATTTCAAATTTAACTCCAAAATGGTATACCACATGCTGCTTAATACTATTATTTAACCTCAAAACACTACAGCACACAACACTTAACACTATTATGTATTTAGATTTTTTTCAATTAATAATTTCACCACCACCAATGGGCTGAAGATTGAGCTTTTTTTTTTAAATTAATTTATTTATTTGAGAGAGAGAGAGAGAGAGTATCTTGAGCAGATTGTCTGCTGAGCAGCAGCCTGAAAGGGGGCTTGATCTCACCTCCCTGAGATCATGACCTGAGCTGAAATCAAGAGCTGAATGCTTAACTGACTGAGCCACCCAGGTGCCCCTGAACTGTCATTTTTAAAGAGTCATTTTTCAACATAGTAGGTTTCAGCAATCTATGAAACAAGAATGAAAGAAAGGAGGGTGGAAGTGAGGGACGAAGGGAGGAAGGGGGAGAAGGAGGGAAGGCAAGCAAATAACCAGGCAGGCAAAAAACAAAGAAAAAAAGGAAGAAAGCAGCAAGGAAAGGAAGGAAGGAAGAAAATACAACAGAGACTGTATATGATCTGCAAAGTCTAAAATATAAGCAGTCCTAGCTTTACACAGTACTGCAATAAATGAAACTCCACAAAAGCAAGGACTGCCTATATTTACTATCTAGCCCCTTACAGAAAAATTTAATGACCTCTGAAATAGAGGATACCTAAATAAGCAAACATGAAGAGGTGTTAAATATTAAAAATTACTAGTCATTAGGGAAATGAGGGAAAAACCCCAATGTGGTATCACTATAAATCCACCAGAATGGTTAAAATGAAAAAGACAACACTATGTGTTGCAAGTTTTTGGAGGAGCCAGAATTCTTAAGCAATGCTGATAGGAGTGCTGACACAACTAATTTGAAAAAACTTTTGGTAGTGTATACCAAAAATACAAACCTGTATATCCTATAATATAGCCATTTCACCAATAGGTATATGTATATCCAACAGAAATGTACACATATATTCACCAAAATACAACTGACCCTTAAATAATGCAGGAGTTAGAAGCACCAATCCCACACAGCGAAAAATCCAAGTTTAACTTTTGACTCCCTAAGAATTTGATTACTAATAGCCTACTGTTGACTAGAAGCCTTATCAATAACAGAAAGTCTATACACACTTTATATTATGTATTATATACATATTTTTTATAATGAAACACACCAGACTAAAGAAAATGTTCAGAAAATAAGAGCATATACATTTACACTAGTGTACTGTGTTTATTGTAAAAAATCTATGCATAAGTGGACTCCTACAATACAAATGCATGTTGTTCAAGGGTCAAACAGTACTTATAAAATGTTCATAGAAGTTCTATTCATAATAACCAGAAACTAGACGGAAAAATAGACGGAAACTAGACTATAC